ATGTGACCTGCTGGCCTTCATGGATTGGCTTGTAGGTAATCAACTCTAGAATTACTTTTTCTACTTTTTCTTCATGCCATCTAACAATACCTCCATAGCATTAAATACTATTTTGACATATCGACTCTCTGGTCAATTGAGAGCACAGGCTTTGTTTAGTTCACCCCTGTCTCTCCAATCCCTAGAATAGTGCCTCAAGCATAGAAGGTTATCAATAACTATTTATTGATAGCATAAATGAATTCAGGGTGTTGTGTCTTTCTATATCCCATTTCAATGCCTCTCTCTCTCTCTCTTTTTTAAGCTTCTTTTGAGTTGCAGATTTTTAGCTCACCCTGAATGACTCTAATATTATGAGACTAGTTTTCATCTGGGCATACTGGTGGCATAAGAAGTCCCTAGGTGGTCCAACCAAAAGGTTGGAGGTTTGAGCCCACCTAGAGGTGTCATGGAAGAAAGGCCTGGTGATCTACTTCAGAAAAATTAGACACTGAAAGCCTTGTGGAGCACAGTCCCACTCTCACATGCATGAGGTCACCATGAGTTGGAATCAATTTGATGGCAGCTAGTTTATTTATGACTTTATAGCATTGGTCTTTTAAACTATACCATGTGATTCATTTTTTTATTGTGATGAAAACATACGTGCCAAAACATTCCCACACCAAAGCATACAATGACTTCCACATTTACAATTCAATGGCATTGAATACATTTTTCAATATTGTGCTACCATTATAGTTACCCTTTTCCAAAATATTCTGTTTAATGTCTCTGTGGTGGTTAAGTTTGTGTGTCAACTTGGCTAGGCCTGGTTGAGTGGCTGGGCAGCTGGATGTAGTATTCCCCATGATGAGACTGGTAATCAACTCCATGGTGGAATCTACTGGGAGCACTTGAGCAGCGCTTTGGGTATGTGGTCTGCTTCCCATATGTAAGAAACAGCTTTGGGAATGGTCTCTAGCTTATGGCATGCTTGAACCCTGCATGTAGCCATGTCGTTGTTCAGCAGCCTGCCATGCTCTGTCGACCTTGGGACTTTCAATGACTTGAATTAATGGCCTGCTGTGTGGTTTGGTAACATTGGGACTGTGCCTTTTTACTTGTCAACCTTGGACTTGTCAGTCTCAGCAGCCAGTAGCTGTCTGAGTGAAGAAAAGCCTCTAGCTCCGGTGGGCTGGGAGCAGGAGGCAGAGCTGAAGCCCAAGGTTAAAGGGCTTTCACCCAGCCCCTAGAGCCTGGCACTTTGAACTCAGACTTAAAGCCTCCAAACTGTAAGAGAATAAAACTCCTGTTTGTTAAGGCCATCCCATTTGTGGTATACTCCTGTCAGAGGGGCACTAGATAAAAGAGTCTCCAAAGAAAAGCTGCCCCCTCCTCCCTGCTTCTTCCCACCTCTGGTAACCATTAATAATCTTTGGTTTCTATATATTTGCTTATATCATAACAATGAGACCATAGAGCATTTGTCCTGTTTGCTTAGCCTACCATTTCCAAGGTTCATCTGTGTTGTGGCATACATAAACATTTCATTTCTTTTATGGCTGTGTAATATTCCATTTTGTGTGTATACCACATTTTGTTTATCCATTCATCTGTTGATGGACATTTTGATTGATTCTACCTTTAGGCTATTGTAAAAAGTACTGTAATGAACATTGGTGTATAGGTTTCTGTTTATGTTCTTGCCATCACTTCTTCTGGGTGTGTACATAGGTTGGGATTGCTGGGTCATATGGTAGTTCTATATTCAACTTTTTGAGGAATCACAAAACTTTTTCCATAGTGGCTGTACCATTTCATGTGATTCATTTTGGATATGGATTTTATGTTGGTCAAGGAACATGTTTTCACTAATACATTACCTTCCTTTCAACTCCATCCTAGTTCATTAGCCAGATACAGAGCCCTGTAGGCAGAAGTCTCAATAAATCCTAATAAAAATCCTAGTCACTATATCAATAACCTAGACCCTCTATATATCCATGTCCATATCCATATCCATATACACATACATTTACATAAGGAGTTCTGTTGGCGGAGTGCCTCAGGCATTTGACTGCTAACCAGAAGGTTGGCAGTCCAAACCCACCAACCATTCTGTGGAAGGAAGATGGGGCAATCTCCTTCCATAAAGATTTACTGCCTCAGAAACCCAATGAGTCGGAATTGACTTAATGGCAGTAGGTTTAGTTTGGTTTTATACATATACAAGTCAGAATTAACTCAACGGCAGTGGGTTTAGGTTTTTGGTTTTATATGTTGGAGATATTTTTCTTGTTTGTGTTTATTGTGTATTGGACCTGATGTACCCTGAGGTGTGTGTGTCTCACCTGAGGGAAAAAAAAACAACAAACCATGTGCAAAGTGAAAACAACAACCCACCACCACACTTACCTTTGTTTTCTTCATCATCCATTCTGTATCTAGTTCTAATTTCTTCTTACGACGAACAATTTGACGAGGTTTTGTGATTTCTTCTGGCTCCTCAGTTTCTGGTGATGTCTGGTTCAATAAGTGAAATGTCAAAGTATTCAACTCTGCAATGATTAACTCAAGTCAGACTTTGGTGGAAACTTAGAACCACTTTTTCAAGGCACCAAAGGGAGGTTTTTCAAATAAGGGGGACTGCCAGAAGTGTTGAAAAAGCAAGGCCTTTGAAGCCAGAAACTTAAGGGTTGAAATCCAGATCTCTTAATTTTTTCACTCATTCACTCCGCAGACATTTATTGAGGGCTAATGTCAGCCAGCCCAAGGCTAGATGCTGGAGATATAATGGTGATGAAGACCAGGAGTGAAGGTATGAGAGAGTGATATACCAACAATTGATAGTGTGTTGTGGGTTGAACTGTGTTCCTCCCAAAAGATATGTTGAAGTGCTAATCCTTGAGCCCTGTTCAAAAATAGGGTTTTTGAAGATGTTATCAGTTAATATGAGGTCATAATGGAATTAAATGTGTCCTAATCATGACTGGTGTCCTCATAAAAGGAGGAAAAGAGACAAAAAGAGAGAGACACACACAGAGGAAAGATGACCTTGTAAAGACAGAGGCAGAGAGACTGGAGTAATGTGCATACAAGCCAAGGAACACCAAGGTTCACCAGCTGTCATAAGAAGGTAGGAGAGAGGCTCCCTCAGACCGTCCCTCAGAGCCTTCAGAAGAAACCAGCATGTCTGCCATACTGATTTCAGATGTCCATACTCCAGAACTGTGAGACAATAAATTTCTGTTCTTATAGCCTCGCAGTTTGTTGTACTTTGTTACAGTAGGCCAAGGAAATTGATACACAGTGTAATGAGTAGAGCTCTCAACAAATGAAAAGTGGGATAATTCTGTTATCTGTAGTTCTGTAATAACTGTTATTCTGTTTTCTGTAATATCTGTAATTCTGTTAACCTAAAAATCAGGCTAAAGTGAAGAGTCATTAAAAGAGGACATATACCATAAACATGTCATCTTAACTCAAAACACATATATTAGTGTGTCATTTTAAATATAAGGCAAGATTTTTACTTTGAGTGTGGGTCTGATGACGGCAGCTCTGTGACCATTGTGCCTAACTCCTTCCATAATTATTACTTATAATTTTCAGTTTTGGTAGCTTGAGTGCAGAATCATATATTTTCATTTTTTTATTTCTACATATCACTCAATCTACGTTTGTTTGGTCCATATCTAATGCAAAGCACTAGTAATAATAATAATAATAAAATAATAAAAGCTATTTCCTTATTGAGTCTTTCCAAAGCATTCCATTTTTCATAGCAACAACAATTTTCTTTTATCCCCTTTTGTAGCAATTGAATTTTGGAATTAAATCGGCAAGAACAACCAAAGAACAATTGTGCTCCCAGTGACTCTTGTAAGTGACTAACATGAGCAGTGAAGCAGAGCTAGCTGAGCAGTGGGGAGAAGCTGCCAGCTGTGGCATTACCCAGGATGCCCTCTGTGGAGAAGAAGAGCACTGGTTCACTCAGCCAACATGTTAGTGCAGGCCAGTTAAGAAAGCTCTAATGGTTCTACCACTGACTTCACCATGAGCACCTTGAGATTGCAAGGGCATTCAACCAGACTTCAGAAGTTAAGGCTCTGCCTTGCAATGGGGAATTCCTTGCTTAAGTGCTGCATGGTTGAAGTCTAGATGGGTGACAATTAGTGGTGAGAGATGAGCTGGGGAGGCAGACAGGACTAGATCATTTGTTTATTTACTCACTCAATAAATATCTATTATGTCCCTACTGTGTGCCAAGAACTGCCCTGGGGATGGGAATGCTATGGTTCCTGCTGTTCATTCCAGTAGTTGAGACTACTGATTAAACAAGTAAGCAGATAAAAACATAATATGTCAGATGATAATGAGTGTTCTAAAGAAAAATTAAGCAGAGTAAGAAGAATGGAAAATGACATGAGTGTTTGCCTTTGTGTGTATGTGTTGTGAATTGAATTGTGTCCTCTAAAATGTGTGTTGATATCTTAACCTGTACTTGTAAATGAAACTCTGCAAGGAAAGATGCATCTATGAGTCCAGGAATGCCAACAACTGCTGGCAGTAACTGCAAAACAACCAGTATACACAATGATTGTGAAATAGACAAGAAAAGATCTCCTCTAGAGGCATGCCTTGTATTCCAACTCATAGCTTCCTGAACTATGAGAAAATAAATTTTTGTTCCTTAAAGCCACCTTTTTGTGGTATTGCTGCTATGGAAGCCCTAGGAAACTAAGACTGTGTGTGCATGTGTATGCACTAGTTTATAAAGGGTAGACGAGTAAAGTATTTCTGAGAAGGTGATATTTAAGAGAGTCCAGAATGAAGTAAGTGCGCAAGCCACAGGGATATCTGAGCGATCAGTGTTTTAGGCAGGCAGGCAGCTAGTACAAAGCTTTAAGGCAGTGGATGTTTGTCTTATTTGATGAACAAGAAAAGGGCCAATATGTCTGAAGAGGAAAAAGTGAGGGCCTTCTAAGCCACAAAAGAATATTGATATTTTTGTAAAGGAAATGGAGGGCCAATGAAGAGTTTTTTAATTTTTTAAAATTATACTGGAAACAATGGGGAAAAAGGACTGAGAGATGGGAAGATGGGAGGTCAGAGAGATTGGAATTCCAGAGGAGAGATGAAGTTGTCTGAGGTGGTATCGATGGGGGCAGAGAGATGTGAGTGGACAGCAGAGCTCTCAGGAAGGATGGACTTGGGGGAAGAAGAGTCAAGGAACAACATACAGCTGAGGAACTAAAGAGGCACTGATAGAAGTTCTTAGGAAAATGAGGAGAGGGAGGAAGACAGAGGCCAGAGCACCAAGGTTCTTGTAGCCCAAGGGAGTTTGGAAACAGGTGATAGTCTCCCATTAAGGAATACTTTCTCCAGTTTTATTTACAGAACAACCCTGATTTATCAAGGGGTGAAACAAAAAACTAAAGTGAGCCAAGTTACTATTTCTGAGGAATCAATTAGAAATTAATAGAAAGCTGAAAAAAGGACAAGGAGCCCACATATTCTGACCTCCTAGAACCCCACAAGAGGAAGGCAAACTCACCATCAATAGCCCAAGGCCTATTCCTGCGAGGTCAGACATGCTGTCTCCCTCCAGCCCTTTCTCCAACTGTTCCTCCCAAAGCACCCACCACCTCTCTCCTGGGTTTGATAATTTGCTGCAGTGGCCACACAGAACTCACAGATTATGGGGTTTATTAGGGAAGCACCTACAATTCAAGTTCAGGAAAAATGCTCAGTCTCTCTCCCAGCCCACTGTCTCTCAGCCAAGGCTCTCACAGTCTCTCCCCCAGCAGTGCATGTCCCTCGGTGCCTTACTCAGCAATGTGTGTCTCTTGCGTCTCTTTCAGGAGCGTGTGTCTCTTTTGGCAGCACGTCTTCCTCAACCAGCAGTCAGAGAGAGTTCTGCCTCTAGGAGGCCTCCTTTTGAGCTTGGCAGAGTGGCCAAACCAACCAATCATAACAACAGAATTCTAAGCACCTGAGAGTGAGCCTCCCATAACATTGCGTTGTGCCACACCAAACAGAAATAACCCAGGTGGATAACATTTACAATCAGGAGCTCCTCAGTTGCTCATTCCACCACTGAGTTTACAATGACTTAGGGTAGAAAAGCCATACTAAGTAATTTACTACACTGCAAAAGCATTTCTTTCATCATAGTGCTAAATGAAGACACTTATGTGTTGATTGGTTTTCAATTTTTATTTTATCTGACAAAGCTAAAATCATGGATATTCTGTTTTTTGCTATATACTTGGCTCTGTCCTTGTTAGGTGAGGATTTAGCCACCTTTCTGAGCCTCAGTTTCTTTAAAGTGGGATAGTGTTGCCTACAGTTACTTATGCATGTGAATAATGCATGCATAGTGCCTGACACTTAGTAGAAACCCAATGTATCTTGGTGCCCTTCTCTCAAAGAGCTTTGAATTTTGATAGTTCATGATACAAGCTGTGCAATGTTGTCCTATTTCTTTTTACAAGTTTAGATGGTTCTGAACAGGAATAACTACATATTTTGACAAATCTAGTGCAAAGTAAAAATGTAGAGCCCTTTACAGAATATTATTAAGAGTTTCAAGACAACCACAGCAGAGCACTAAAACAAGCATGGGGATTTTCTAAGCATGAGGCCCTGTAGGAATGCACAGGTCACACACCCATCAAGCTTTTCTTTGGAAAGCAGAGTGCTGAAAGACATGGTGCTGTGTGCCTAGAATATGAAATAATGGGCTAGATACTGGAAGTAGATGAGTTATCAACTCAAATGAGGCTAGGATATTTCTTTGGGACTGGCTATAGCAAGAACATTGACAGTGATTTCATTTTACTTGGATCCATAGTCAATGCCCATGGAAGCAGTAGTCAAAAAATCAGATGATGTATTGCACTGGGCAAATCTGCTGTAAAAGACTTCTTTGAAGTGTTAAAGAGCAAAGATGTCAGTTTGAAAACTAAGGCTCCCCTGACCCAAATCATGGTATTTTCAATAGCCTCATATGCATATGAAAGCTGGACAGTGAATGCGGAAGATGGAAGAAGAACTGATGCATTTGAATTGTGGTGTTGGCAAAGAATATTGAAAATACCATGGACTGCTAGAAGAACAAACAAATCTGTTTTGGAAGAAGTAGAGCTGGAATGCTCCCTAGAAGTAAGAATGGCAAGACTTCATCTCACATACTTTGTCATGTGGTCAGAAGGGACCAGTGTCTGGAGAAGGATGCCATACTCAATAAAGTCAGCAAAAAAGGGGAAGACCCTCAATGAGATGGATTGACACAGTGGCTGTAACGATAGGTTCAAGCATAGCAAATATTGTGAGGAGGTGTGGGTTGCTAGGAGTCGGAATCAATTCAATGGCATCTGACAATAACAACAGCATTGAAGAACATAGAAGAATGTCTTCTGTCAATTAGAAATGTTATTTTTCTGTATAAAAAGTTCAAACCTTTTAGGCTTCAGTTGTCCAGAGAAACAGGGAGTGGGCAGGGGTGTGAGTGGGGCACTAGGTGAATCTGGCCGTTTACGTTATATTATATTTCATTCTCTAATCGGTTGACTTACTTTGTCCTAAGAGAAAAAAACAAAACAAAACACTGTCATTGAGTCAGATCTGAGTCATAGCGACCCCTCATTGGGTTTCCAAGGCAGTATCACTATGGAAGTAGATTGCCCAACCTTCCTTTTGAGCAGTGACTGGTGGGTTTGAACAACCAGCCTTCTGGTTAGCAGTCAAATGCCTTAGGCACTATGCCACCAGAGCTCCTAAGAGAATAAAGAGTCCTAAAAAAAAAGAAAAGAAAAAAAAAAAAAAAAGGAGCAAGAAATCATGCATACATGCATGCATGCATGCATCTAGCCACTCAAGAAACACTTATTGAGCACCTACGGTGTACTTTGCTAAGGTGCCAAGGAATGAAAAACACAGACATTTAAACCCCGGGGGAACAGAAAAGTAAGCAATAGACAAATATTACGTTCTATATGTAACAGACATTTGTTGTGTTTTTGGATGCTGAGCATCTGAACCCTTTTTCTTGTTTTTGGGGTATCCCATCACATGAGTTTTGCTGGGAGGCAAAACCCTTACAACTACAAAAACTGAAAGGGGTGATTGCTTTTTCTGTGTGCCGTAGCCCGAGGTAGAACATAAGACCTAGGTGTAGAAGGTCCCTACTTTTTTCTTTCCAGAAACATTGGCCTTTGTTGCTCATTGAATATACCAAGGGGATGAGAACTGAGTCTGGCTTAAGAGGTCTTTGGCATGAATGTGACTTCCATTTAATGGCTGGGTGATTTTAGGCAAGCCACTTAGTCTCTCTGAGCCTTAATTTCTTTATCCTGCTTCACTGTTAGAGAGATTAACTTGAATGAGATAGTGTATATGAAGGTACTCAACACATAGCAGCTATTCTACAAGAATGAGGTGCAATCATGGAGCACTGTCTTGAGAAGGAATCTGAAGTTGTAGCCTGACTCACTGAGAAAAAGTGCAGTGGGTGATCAGCTGTGTCTACCATGGGTCTTGCTGCCATTTCTACGTTAGTTGTATCTAGTAATTGGAAAGATATTCCACATTGGGGTTTTGAATTTCTGAATTAAATAGCTTGATAGTTTGGTTTCTTGCTCCAAACTTTCCATGATTAGAGCCCAAAAGCTGGCATTCTCTATAATAGGCAAATCTTAACAGGTGAACTCTAAATGCCTTTGATCTCCTGTATAGGGGCCATTTAGCTCCAAAACTTTGCATTAATATTGTCTTTCCGGAGTCTCTCAAATCTGGCTTAGGTCTCCCCAAGTGGTTCAATAGCACCCCTTCCCATAATAATAGCACTTAATCAGCCTAAGGGCAATTCCCTACTTGTCTATCCTCCTTCTCCTCCCTAGCACCAAGGATAAAGTCCATTGAGAGTCCAGATTGTGTCTGTCTTGCTCAGTATTTTACCCCTGGCAGCTAGGACCTGCCTAGCACCCAGTAGATACTAAAGTGAATTAATGAGCATTCCTGTCTTCCACAATGCAGAAGGAAGAGAGGGAGTGAGACGTAGACAGGGGAGCCAGTCACAGGATGGGTAATGGAAGGGCAGTGCTTACTTTCACGTTTCTTCATAATCCACAGGATTGTTTCCTTGTATTTTCCAAAATTTTTCTTCAACCTGAAAGAACATGAATAATCTTTAAAAGTGAGACTAAATTCAGGTGTATTTGGCACGATGTACTCAGCCTGCTGAGTCTGTTACATAGGGTGAAATTTGTTTTCTGACCCAGCTTTTCTTCCAGTCAATGCTCAGACAATAAAGGGACATCTTGCTGCTTCTCTCCTGGCCTTTAAGTGGCCCTGCACTTGGGCATATGAGCTGACCAGAATACCCTTCAAAATGAAATCAATGAGATTCTTCTTTGGGGCTAGGACAGGGCAACTAAAACTAACTCACTGCCATCAAGTCAGATCTGACAGGGCAGGGAGGTTCCAAATACAAGTATGGCTCTATGTGTTAAGCTCATGCAGCTTGCTTTTCTATGTCTTGTATATACCCCAGGAAGGTTTGCATTCGGAAATGGCTTAGGAAAACAGCATTATCTGTGAACTGGAAAGACTTAACTGAAACTCCTTTGCATTTAGTAGGAAATTTTCAAATAAACTCACTCAAAATGCCTTATCATGAAAGCCTCAGGAAGTCAGGCACAGCCTTTCAAAATGATCAAGCCCCTTCTCATGTCAATATACAAAGCAAGTCAAGCTGGCATTTCAATGGCTTGGCCTGTTTTACTTCCAAGTAACTGTTGTCTCCAGGGACAGTTGTGTTTCCTGCTTCTGCGATCACAGCCCCTATGAAAGGGAATGTGCTGGAAAGAGAACTTTTCAGGCTTAATTGGATCTAAAGAGAAAGCTTATGACATGACTAGATAGATAGATAGAGAGTTTTGGTTACCTAGTGCCACTCTGACAATAATATACCACAAATGGGATGGCCTTAACAAACAGGAGTTTATTCTCTTACAGTTCAGGAGGCTAGAAGTATGAGTTTAAAGTGTCAGGCTCTAGGGGCTATGTGAAAGCCCCTCGATCTTGGGCTTCAGTTCTGCCTCTTGCTCCTGGCCCACTGAAGGTAGAGGCATCTCTTCACTCAGACAGCTGCTGGCTGCTGAGGCTGAGAACCCCCCAAGGTCAACAAATAAAATGGCACAGTCCCGATGTTACCAAACCACATGGCAGGCCATTAACTCAAGTCCATTGTAAGTTCCAAGGTCGGCAGAGCATGGCACGTTGCTGAACAATGACACGGCTACATGCAGGGCCCAAGCATGCCATAAGCTGGAGACCATTCCAAAGCTGTTTCTTATATACAGGAAGCAGACCACATACCCAAAGGAAGCTACTCAGCTGCTCACAGTAGATTCCATCATGGAGTTGATTACCTGTCTCATCATGGGGAATACTACATTCAGGTGCCCAGCCACTCAACCTGGCCTAGCCAAGTTGACACACAAACTTAATCATCATACAAACACAAACACACACACACAGGAGCTCTGGTAGCATAGTGCCTAAGGCACTTGACTGCTAACCAGAAGGCTGGCGGTTCAAACCCACCAGCCACTCCTCAGAAGGAAGGTTGGGCAATCTACTTCCATAGTGATACTGCCTCGGCAACCCAAGGAAGGGTTGCTATGAGTTGGGTCCAACTCGATGGCACATAACAACCACAACATACACACACACACACACACATATACACACACACACACACATAATTTTATTGAGTTATTGAGTTTTAGTGAAAGTTTCCAAAGTAAGTTGGATTGCCATTTGACAATTTCCACACAAATTGTTCAGTGACATTAGTTACATTGATCCCAATGTGTCGACATTCTTTTCAATTGTGTTCAGCTTGCTCTCTTTCTAGTACTCTAGTTTCCCTGCCACCTTATCCTCTCATCTTTGCTTTTGGGTAATTATTTACCTTTTGGTGTCCCACTGATGTTTTTAAAGTAGGGTACCTATCCTATGGGTAATATCCTTTATTTTTCATGCCACTGTGCTAATTCACCAACAGGTGTTCTCAGGGGATAGGCTTGGTTCTAGGTTTAATAAGCATCTCAAGGTGATGGTCCAGGAAGTCCTCTGTTCTCTACTATTACAGTTTGGACATGACAGGTTTTAAATTCTCAGTTCAGATTCCTTGAAGACAGTGTGATAATTTAATCCTGAGCCACCCCAGGAAGTGAATGGCCTCTGCTTAAAAGTGCCTATACTATTTTACCTGGCAGAGAGCTGTTGTTGTTGTCAGTATCCATCGAGTCGGTTCCAACTTGTAGCGACCCATGTGTGCAGAGTAGAACTGCTCCATAGAGTTTTCTTAACTGTAATCTTTGTGGAAACAGATCACCATGCCTGTCTTCTGAGACACCCATGAACCATCAACCTTTTGGCTAGTAGTCAAGCACTAAACCATTTCCACCACCCAGGGACTCCATTGGCAGAGAGCACTGGTTTACTGTTTGTACTTTAGAAGCAATAGCAGAAATGGAGGATGAGATCTTTGTGGCCCTTTTGTACCGAACATATGTTTATTTGCAAGCACCTGAATGAACCTGAAGTTGTTACCTAGCCTACTGGCACCTGTGAGACCAAGGAGTAGGGTGGGGCTGGGGGCCTGTGCTGCAGGCTAAAACGAGTGTCAACTGTAGACAAAAGTTAAGCCCCTTTCCTAGAGAGGAGTTCCTGGGTGGCACAAACAGTTAATGTTCTTGGCTGCTAATCCAAAGGTTAGAGGTTCAAGTCAACCCAGAGATGCTTCGAGAGAAAGCTTGGTGATTGCTTCAGAAAAACCAGCTATTGAAGACCCTACGGAGGGAAGTTCTTCTTTAATGCACATGAGATGTCAGACTGTTTTTTTTTTTTTCCTACAGGAGCCTCAGGGAACTCTTGTCACTGGACTCTACTGAGCCCAAAGCAGAAGATGCCGGCAATCAACCTCTACTCCTGCTTTTTGTGAAAGTTTCAACTTGCTGAGGTAATTAAGGAGGGCTCACTCCTCCCTCAGCCTGTTACCCGGTGCCATTGCTGAAGACTCTGTCTTGGACTCAAGAGTCTCAAGCACACACCGTACTTTCAAAATTTTCTGATGGGTGGTTAAGTGAAAACCCAGGCTTCCATGTGAAGAGTGTATTCTGCACCACAGACTGGAGGGCCACGACATTTAGAGAGACCTGGCACCCTTGCCAGGTGTGTAATAGCTTTTTCATTTCCCACTCCAAAGAGGGGCTTCTGCCATGATCCCCACATCAGTGAAGGTCAAGACTAGGATCTCACTCTTCCATGGAGCAAGGAAAAGGATCTGCTGGCCTAGGGTGAGGAGTCCCTGGGTGGTGCAAATGGTTAACACACTCGGTTGCTAAATGGAAGGTTGGCAGTTCAAATCCACCCAGAGGTGCCTTGGAAGAAAATCCTGATGATCTACTCCTAATCAATCAGCCATTGATTGCTCTATGGAGCACAGTTCTACTCTGATGCACACGAGGTCACCATGAGTCAGAGTTGCCTTGACAACAACTGGTTAGCCTAAGGTGGAGCTGAACAATTTCTTGGGCAGATGCCCAGGATCTTGATCCCCTATTGTCCTCTCTTTTCAAAGGCCCAGGGGGCAGAGCCTTGCTCCCCAGACTATTGTACAAGTTCATTTTGTACAACTTCAAGACTTTTCTTGTCTTGGATTTTCAACTTCTGCCACTGTCTGCCTCTGATCCTATTTGGTGCCTCCCATGCTTGTAGATTTCTTTCCTCTTGAGTTTGGCAGGTGGACCATTCTGTCCCTCTGATCCCTGGTTCTTGCCTTGGCCCTTGTGCCTGGCCTGTCTCTGCTCCTTGACTCAGGAGACCTACCTGGCCCTGGCCCTTGCTCTGTTTCCCTGTACACTCAATTTTCTCTGCTACTACCTCTGGCCCAACTAAACCTGCTGACCACTAGCATGACTTTTTGACTACTTACAGAATTCCCAGTTTCCTTCTTGTTTCACTCTCCAGATGCCCAGTCATGGGGATGTCAATATCTTCTTCCATCTCACTGCGAGCAGCCATTTCTTTGACCATCATCCTGAACACTGTCTGGTAGTTGGTGTTGTTCAAAAACTAGGACCACAGAATGAAATATCCAGAAAATAAGAATTAATGATTTACTAGTTAATCACTTTTCTGACTCCTAAGGGAGCCAAGTGACATTTCAGCACATTATTCAATAAACCCAAACAATGGCAACAGTAGGTTGACTAGCAAGAATTCTTTTAAAGAATATTTCTATTATCATCATACACTCTCCTCACTCCTCAATTCCCTCAGGAAATTATTACTTTTTTAAAAACATCCTTACACCAATACGTTTTTTGAGAACATAAACTATCTTCTTTTTCCCCAATGTGGAAAAGCTATAGAATGTAAAAAAATTTCCATGCTCTAAGAGCCTAACGGGCTTCTGAGTTTCATGAAAGACCAAACTCACATTTGTTGCTCATGTGTTCAATTGATCCAAGGGACTGACAAACAACAAGGGAGTGAGTTCAATTCCAGGCCTGAAGGGTAACTAGGGGCTATAGTGCTATAGTCTCAGGGGTTTCACCAGTCTCTATCAGACAGTAAGCCTGGTCTGTTTTTTTTTTTTTTAATGATTTTGAGTTTTGGTCCACATTTTTCTCCCACTTTACCCAGGTTCTCCAAATTTGATCCCTTTCTGAGTGGTTAGCAGCAGTAGCCAGGCACTATCTAGTTCTGGTCTCAGAGTCATGAGGGCTGAGGTTCCCAGGGTCCACTAGTCCCTTGGACTAATTTTTTCCATGCATATTTGATTTTCTTCACTCTTCTTTGCTCCAGATGAGGAAAGACCAATTATTGTATCTTTGCTGGATGGTGGAAAGCTTTTATGACCCCAGTGATTACTCACCAGAGTAGGATGTAGCACAATGTTTTTGTGTACTATGTTATGCCTGGGAGCTCTGGTAGCGTACTGCCTAAAGCATTTGACTGCTAACCAGAACATTGGCAGTTCAAACCCACCAGCCACTCCTTGGAAGGAAGGTTGGGCAATCTACTTCTGTAGTTATACCACCTCGGAAACCCAAGGAGGGTTCTCTATGAGTCAGATACGACTTGATGGCAGTGAGTTTTGTTTTGGTATGTTATGCCCTTTGAGGTTGATGTCCCCAGCAACCATGGTCACAAGTCCGTGAACTCAGTGACTCACTCCTTCAAGGTATTTGGTTGTGGCTAAGAAGTTATCATAACTTTAAAAGGAGCTTTGGTGGTGCAGTGCCTAAGGCATTTGATTGCTAACCAGAAGGTTGTTGGTGGTTCAAACCCACCAGTCACTCTGCAGAAGGAAGATGGACAATCTACTTCCGTAAAGATTTACTGCTTTGGAAACCCATTGGGGGTTGCTATGAGTCAGAATCAACTGGGTCATAACTTTGCCCCGTTAAATAAATAAATAAACCCAAACCCACTTCCATCGAGTCTATTTGGACTCATAGCAACCCCTACTGGGTTTCCAATACGGCGAATCTTTACAGAACTAGATTGCTTCATCTTCCTTCTGCAGAGCATCTGCTGGGTTTGAACTGTCAACCTTCTGGTTAGCAGTCAAATGCCTTAGGTGCTGCGCCACCAGAGCTCCTTTTGCCTCCTATTAGCTCAATTGTATGTGGACATTTTTATAGCACATACACATACATATGTAGAAATATTGTCTGCCAAACTTATACATGGTCATAGGTAGATTCCCTTTTGCTTATCCATACCTGATCATTTTGCCTGACTTCTTATGTATCCACCTGTAGATTAATGTTTGTCATTACTGATAACGCAGTGTTGTGTATGTAATAGTATTTACCTTTGTTCTCTGTGCCTCTTGTGCACCTCTCTGTGCCTTCTTTTTCCTTAGCTCTGTATGCTGTTCACCCACTTTGATACATTTCTCTTACTTAGCTAGCAATTTTCCCTCTCTTCCCTGTCATCCCTGATAATCAACAGTTTCCTTCCATGTGCAAACCTTTCCTTAACTTTTTATTATTACACACAGTATTTGTCCTCTGTGATTGACTTATTTCACTCAGCATAATGTCCTCCAAGTCCATTCACATTATGAGGTGTTTTGCAGATTCTTCTTTATTCTTTAGTGTTGCACATTATTTCTTTGTGTGTATGTACCATCATCTGGTTATCCATTCATCCATTGATGGACACTTAGGTTGCTTCCATGTCTTTGCTATTGTGGATAGTACTGTGAAGAACATTGATATGCATATATCTATTTGTGTCCCGGTTCTTACCTAGTAATGAGATTGCAGGATTAAATGGTATTTTTATTTCCAACTTATTAAGGAAGTGCCATACCATTTTCCAGTGGTTGTCCCATTTTGCAGCCCCACCATCAGTATATGAGAGTGCCAATCTCTCCACACCCTCACCAACAGTAGTTGGTTTCTGTCTCATTAAACTTTGCTATTATTGCTGGAGTGAGATGATATCTCCTTTGTTGTTTTGATTTGCACCTTTCTAATGGCTAATGATCACATGTTTGTTGGCTGCCTGAATATTTTCTTTGGTGAAGGGTCCATTCATGTCCTCTGCCCATTTTTTAATTGGATTGTTTGTCTTTTTTTATGTTGAGGTGTTGAAGTATTCTATAAATTTTAGAGATAAGTCTCTTATTGGATACATTATTGCCAAATATATATTTTATACTACATATATATATATATATATATACACACACACACACACATACTATATATATATACTATATATATATTAGGAGCTCTGGTAGCATAGAGGCTAAGGCACTTGA